GCGTCAAGCAGAAGCTGGAGAAGGAGAAGAGCGAGCTCAAGCTGGAGCTGGATGACCTGGGCTCCAACACGGAGCAGCTCATCAAGGCCAAGGTAGGAGAATAGTCTCCACCCATGAAGGGACAACCCTTCCATCCCTCTCCCTACATCCTCGTTCATCTTCTTGCCATTCCTGTCTCCAGGCCAACCTGGAGAAGATGTGCCGCACCATGGAAGATCAGATGAATGAGCACCGGACCAAGTCTGAGGAGGCTCAACGCATGGTCAATGACCTCACCACCCAACGAGCCAAGCTCCAGACAGAGAATGGTGAGGGCCTCACTCTTCCCCAAGGCAACTGCTCACCCCGTGCCCGGTAGGGTGGCTTTGGGGTCTCTCCAGCAAGGGACTGTCTACTTTTCCACCCCACAGGTGAGCTCTCCAGGCAGCTGGAAGAGAAGGAAGCCTTCATCAACCAGCTGACACGAGGGAAACTCACCTACACCCAACAGCTGGAGGACCTAAAGAGGCAGCTGGACGAAGAGGCCAAGGTAGACCTGCCTTGTGGAGGTGGGTGGGGCTGAAGGTTGAGGGTGAAAGACACCCCCAAGGTCAAGGGTGAGGTTGGTTTGCAACTGAAGGTTGCAGGGTGAACCTCACAGTGGGAGAAAAGGAGTTGAGGGTCCTCAGCAAGTTTGGTGGGGTTGGTGGGTCTCAAGGAGGTTGGGTTGGTAGCAAGGAGGCCAGTTGGCTTGGTCTAGAAGAGGTTGGGTTAGGCTGAGTTGGTTTAAAGAACACTGGACTGGTCTAAGGAAGGTCTAAAGAAGGTTGGATTGGTCTCAAGAAGGTTGGGTTTGTCTAAGGAAGGTCAAGTTGGTCTGGAAGCAGTTGGATCAGGGTCTACAGAAGGTCTGATAGGGTTGGGGTGATCAAGATCAGCTCCTACTGAGTTGGAGAACCCCGAGGCGGCCCAAGCTGCTATGACCCCAGCAGTCCCACCTTCTCACCCCGCCCAGGCCAAGAACGCGCTGGCCCACGCCCTCCAGTCGGCTCGGCACGACTGCGACCTGCTGCGGGAGCAGTACGAGGAGGAGACGGAGGCCAAGGCCGAGCTCCAGCGGTCGCTCTCCAAGGCCAACTCTGAGGTGGCGCAGTGGAGGACCAAGTACGAGACAGACGCCATCCAGCGCACTGAGGAGCTGGAAGAGGCCAAGTGAGTCATCTCCCCATGGCTGCTGAGAGTCTCCCATGAGTGGTGGGACCTGCTTGGTCTTGCCGGTCTCCACTTCCACTCTTCCCTCAAGCAGTCACCACCCAGAATGTTGGTCTTCATCAAGCTTCGTAGATCTAGACACCAATTTGGGGACTTAGAGCCTGTCTTGAGTAACCTAGACCATCCATGACCCTAAGGAGTCCAACATCTCTCAAACATCTTTGTCTTGGAGATGACCAGCTGATGAGATCTCCATGGGTCACACATAGGTTTCTCCCATATGTCTGGTAGGAAGAAGCTGGCCCAGAGGCTGCAGGAGGCCGAGGAGGCGGTGGAGGC